AAATCATTGCTATATGACAATAAATTTGTATCCAACAACTTATAGAACTAACAATCAGCCAATGCAATTTCAGCGGCAATGGCAAAGATTTCAAGTGAATATGTTCTGCCTGTAAATAAAGATATCAAAAGCTGGATTGTTTGCTTGGGAACTAACTCTTTGGAAGAATACCTAAGAAGGATACCACCAAAGTAAAAATAGCTAATTTGGGAAAGCAAAATATGTTAACTAGGTTAAATAGAATCCCTTTAAATTAAATACCAGCTACATCATAGCAAACAAAATAAACAAAAGCCATTCTTCCAGGTATTGTGATAACTTTGAACTTGTTTTACAAAAAATCTAATAATAATTGTTGTAAATTGATGCAATACAAATTTTATGTGTGAAAATCCAAGAAGTGAAAAATCACAGGCAATAAAAAAGAATTCACTTTATCGGATGAGAAAATTATAAGTAGAGTGTCAACTCGCCTAAAACCAAACTAAAGAGAAAGACTGTTTCTCATACAAAGAAAATAAGTATTTATGGACTTCTACAAGTCCGCTTAATGCTAAAATAGAATCAATCCAACAGTGGAGAACCTCAATTTGGGCACTTATAATTTCTTACTAAAGTGAATGTGATCCAAATAATTTGAGTCGTAAATTTAAAAATCTAAACCTTAATATAAACTTTTGAAAAATATGCAGAATAAATCTTCAATTTTCAACAAAATCCTCTCCACATCTTCTATAAAAAACTCTAAAAATCATCAATGAATATCAAATTCAAGCAATGCTCAAACTTGGCAATTAAGAGTGCATTGGTAATCATATCATAAGGATTATCATGGTCATTATTATTGTTGATAATAATATCATCACGAGTAATAACTTCATGAACGAAGTGATAATGAACATCAATGTGTGTAGTTCTTTCATATAATATCTAATCTTTAGTGATACTCTGATTATCACACATCACTGTAATGATTATCAAGTTTTCATTAAGCTCTTAAAATAAACATCTCATCTTTAGTTATAATAGTAATATTGTGGTCCATAAGTGTCCTCCTAATTAATTACACAACCACCAACAATAAATACATATCTTACAAGTGATCTCCACCTATCAAGATCTCCAACAAAGTCTAAATTAACATAACCAGTGATTTTATTTGTAGTTCTCCCGCATAGAAGACATCTTCAGTTCCACATAAATTCATAAAAATTTATTGAACTGCTTCTAAAGCTCATTACCCATATGACTCATGTACTTATTCATTGCACTAATTATATATGATAAGTCTGGAAAGAAAATGTTATAACAAATATGCTAGAAAATAAAACTCGAGACATATAGTCAATTTTATTGTCTGATTATGAATACAAATTGATTGAAGCCTGAAATACCCAACTAATATAATACTAAGAGGTTTGATATTTTGTATAACGAACCTATGCAAGATGTTTTCAATATACGCTTTTTGACTCAAATAATTTATCTGCATTCCTATCTTCATGAATCTCCATGCCAAAGATCTTTTTTGTAACTCTAAAATCTTTCATCTCAAATTTAAAACTCAATTGAGCCTTCAATTTCTCTATTATTATTAGCAACTATCAACATATCATCAATATATAAGAGCAATTAGACACATGATCCATAGTCATTCCTCTAAAACTGAACACAACTATAGTAACCACTCATAAACTCATAAATGTTTATAAATGAGTTAAAATTTCTTGTATCACTTCCTAACAGACTATTTCAAACCATAAAAAAATTCCTTGAACAAAAAAACAATCATTTTTTATAACCACAAAGCCCTTAATTATTGTATATAAATATTCTCCTCGAACACTTCATGCAAAAACACAATTTATATCTAACTGCCCAAGCTCAAAGTCATGATTAACCACAATACCAAGTAAAGCTCAAAATAAACCATGCTTAATCGGTGGAAAGAATACATTTGTATAATTAATACCTAAAATCTGACTAAATCCCTTTGCAACTAACCTAGTCTTGTATCAAGCATATTCAACGCTTGGTGTATCTTCATTGCTCTTAAACACCAATTTGCAACATACAAATTTCATCACCAATATAGCAATCATCCATTTATTAGAATCGCCGGAATTAATCGCACATTTATAGCTAAAAGGTTCTTCGCCATCTTTGATACATTCGACCGCACTTAAGATATAAGCAACCAAATCTGTCTCACTATGCATCTATCATTATTTAATTTCTTTCACTTTTCTATCCTTGATAATGTAAAATTGTAGTGGTTGTTGTAGTACTAATAGAAAATCAGTGTCACCGTGATTAACTGAACTTAACTAAAAAGTCATACCAAAAGATTATGTTTCAATTTGAAGCTCAATTTTTCTAAAAAACCTCTCATTTTAATTAACATCATTACATCCTAAAGTAGGTGTTCAGCATAACACGGTAGACTAGTCAAATACAACATTTATATAAATGATTATTGTTTTCTTATTTTCGAGCATTATATTTGTTGCATTTAACTTTAAATTTATACCTAAGAAAAAACATTTTGTTGATCAAAGCTCTATTTATCATTATCAACATGAGCAAATTCATAATAGACAAAAATCCATAGATTAGACTAATAAGTGAGTTTATTGGATCAAATCTCCTATAGAGTCTTCTAATCAATAGCAATTGAAGGAACGCAATTTAACAAATAGCAAGTTGCAGAAGCAACGTCAAACAAAAATGTCTTAGGTAACCTAGCATTAGAGCATATATAACATACCTTCTTCATTATAGCCCTTCATTCACTCTGTCAAAACATTTTGTTGTAGAGTAGTGTTAAATTATGAAGTGGCTTAAATTTTTTTATAATTTGCAGAAGATATTAAATTTTCTTGAATAATATCGATACGTAAACATTAAATTTGCTTCTCGATCTATTTCTCAACCATAATCTTTCCCTCTAAAATATAATAAATGCAACTTTAGTCTCCTTTAAGAAAAATTCAAAATTTTCTTAAAAAATCATCAATAATCGATAGCACCTTTTTTAGACGATGTTATGGATAATTTTCAAAGGTCAGAATGTATGCAATCTAGCATCCCCTATTAATGTTGATGTATGTGCTAAACATAAATTTCTTTTATTTTTCAAATGCACAGCACTCATAAAACTTCTATTTAATAATACTCTAGCTTAGAAAAAGCAATAATTGTCACTTATCGTTGTAGTGCATTGCAAGACATATAATCCAGCAGCTTTTTTATGTCCATTCGTCATAACAAAAGAGCCTTTAGAAACATTCAAAACTTCATTTAGAATACTTGCATCATTTAGTATCGAGAGTACTCAAGAAATTAAATTTTCTTTCCAATCAAGGACATATTTCACATCTCCAAATATTCTACTAACTCCATCAACATCCTGATTCTGATAGTTCTAATACCAGATACTTTACAATGAGCATTATTGTCTATTATTTCTCATTAATACCATATTCTTAGACAATAATTTATATGTTGAAAATCAATTCTTATTGGAACATATATGAAACGTGCAAAGTGAATCAAGAACTCAATCATCATAAAGTTCACTATGAAAGACAATTAAAACTCTATCATAACTAACAACTTAACGAGTGATTTAATTATTTTTATTCTAATTAGTAGGATTTTTTTTCTATTTTGTGGTTTGTAATATTCAGATTTGATGTCGTTTTCACTTGCATTGATTGCAGATCTTCCTTAGTTTTAAATTTTCATATACTTCATATTAACACCAAATTTCTCTCTCAAGTCCTCTATTAAACCATAATATCTTCTCCCTGAGAAGCAGATTCATCCACAAACTATTTCATCTTCTCTTTAAAAAATAAAGCATCATAGAGTACATCCAAAATAAATGTCTATCTCTACATGTTGTATATGATGAAAGCAACGAACACAATAGAATTAACATAAATCTTTTTCATGGTTAACTTCCATAGCTTCTAAATCAAAAATAATAATAAAAAAATAAAGCATCATAGAGTACATCCAAAATAAATGTCTATCTCTACATGTTGTATATGATGAAAGCAACGAACACAATAGAATTAACATAAATCTTTTTCATGGTTAACTTCCATAGCTTCTAAATCAAAAATAATAATAATAATAAAGAAAGTCATGTGATATAAGAGAAACAACTTGTCAAATATTTTATCGGAGTGTAAATGTTACTTTAAATGGAAATTACTAGTGAGTTTTGTCATCATGCAAAACTATTCTAATTTCAGTCATAATGCAAAGGTTCTCTTCACCTTCAAAACATCTTATAAAATTTGATTTGATAGATAAAAATGAATATGAAATAAAATAATTAGATCATTGCATTGCTTCTTCTGCAATGTCCACAATGATGACGATTTGTCAAATCTTAGTAGTGCATCATCTAAATTCAGCTACACCACAAGAGCACATATTTTAGTCTACCAAAGAGAAAATCTAATGTCATGCTCCAAAAGCGAAATGTTGAATTTCATTGTTGTCATTCTCGAAATTAAAAAAAAGTTACTCTAGATCATTTTCTATAAAATTGATGCAATAAATAAAAAAATAAATAAAAGAAATGCAAAGATTTTATGTGAAAAATCTCAATATGGGATAAAACATAGGCAGACAAGGAGAATTCATTATATCAAAAGAGAGTTACAAGTAGAGAATGTAAACTCGTCTAAAAAATGGTATTTCTGAACCTCTGCAAAACCCCTTAAAAATTACTCAAGAGGATAATAAAGCAATAGTACACGGATCTCAATCTAAAAGCTATAATAAGATCAATCCAACAAACAATAGCAATCTTCAGTTTGTGTACTCATAATTTTCTACTAATACAAGCCAGACCCACATAATTCGAGTCACATTTTTAATATTAACAAATAATAATACCCTAATTACCAAATCTGATATACACAACCTTTCCCCAAACACAAGGTCCTGAAAGCCAAAAGCCTGTTTTTCAACAAAGGCCTCACCTTTTAAGGCCACTAGAATGCGGAGACGAGACAATGCAGACGTACGATTCCTGTGCTGCGACCTGTCTTCTACAGCCTACAAGCAAACAAAAACCTGTTGAATTTCAACCTAAAACCCCAATTCACCAAACGAATTTCACTATTAAAATAAAGTGGTGTTAGGGATGTGGAGAACAATTGGACCTGGGCTATAATGCCGGTGGGGAGGTGCTTCAGACGGACAGCAGACTCGCGCTTGTTGCGGTGCTGTCCGCCGGGCCCGGAGGATTTAAAGGTGTCCATCTCGCACTGAGCCATCAGCTCCTCATCACTTAACCGAAGATATTCAGCGGCAGTGGTGCTGCTGCTGCTGCTACTTGAGGAGGAGGATAATTTGAGGGAAGCTAGGGTTTTTCGGGTTCTTTGTAGGTTGATGAGCGGATATGGACCATGATTGTCTGCCCCGTAGGAAATCCACAGAGCCCACTTCGAAAGCAGCCGCGCCATTCTGGTAGGAATGGATCGATGCCAAGAAGGAAAGGAAGCGGGATAAAAATATATTTAGTTAATTTGGTCAAATTTAAAAATCCAAATTTAATATATTTAGTTAATTCGGTTTTATTTTAAAATATCATTTCAATTCTTTTTAATCTAAATATTTGGTTAATGATTATTAATTATTTTTTTAATTTTTATTTGATCACAGAAAAAATCTTTAAAAAAATTAAAATTAAATGAAATTTAAATTTTAATTGAGGTTTGTTACCTTATTCGGATGCACTATTTCTACCTACAGACTACATCTTCTCTATTTTATCGCTCTTACAAATTTTTTGTTTCATGCAAGATGGCATTTGAACTCCGAATTCCGAAGGTTAGAACTCAAATTTGAAGCATCAAACCATAATTTTTCTAGTTTGAACTTGTTGAATTTGAATTTATCGAGGAGGCACACCCAAATGATTCAAGCATTTGAACCAAGAGAAAGAAAAGAGAGAGGAGAAGAGTGCGCAATGACTTGCAAAATGAGGTATTCTCGAGCACTTGTGACCTTTTGTATATAATCGAATGTTTTTGAGATAGCCTAATGCCCCTTCGCATACATGAGAGATGAGAGAGGTGAAATAACCTATTACATGAAAAAATGTTTCTATTTATATGAGAAGGTGAGCAATGAAGAAAATTTACATTTATAACTCTGCTTTATGAAGGGTTCAACATGTTATTCTAGTAACCCCTGTGGGCTCGTGGTCATGCCCTTCTCTGGCTCGGTCGAGTGGGGGTTGAGAAGGTGAATTGTTCGATGTTGTCAGTCACCTTCTGGACGAAGTTCGTCAGTCATTTGGTCGGCCCTTCAGGTATCGGCAACTGGGACTCTTATAGATAGTTGGGGATATAATTTGTCTGACAAATGTTGGTCGGTCGAATGAGCTGAGCAGGTCATCAGTCCTCAATCCTATCGGAGAAATTCTTGCGAACTGAATAGACTTGTATCCTTGAACAGAAGATGCCTTCTGGGTGTGTATCGTTGGGTCGATTCAGATGAACATTGGCTAATGTCTATCATGAGCTGGTCATTTTTTTTCTGGGTCGCCGGGTCGTTTTCTGGTAGTTCCAGTGTTGCCATGTTATTGTTCTTGGGTTGTTGAATTACCTCAAGATTTGTACTGGTGCATTTTTTATGTAAATATTTAGTTTCTGATTATTTTACTTTTTAAAAGTGATAACTGTGATAAAAATAAGAAAATTTAATGAAAAAGTGAACATCATTGATGATTATTTAAAAACACAATAATTGAACTCTTCTTCAATTTCATGTCAGTGATTCCGATAAATATAGGGTGTGCTTTCACCACTTCATAGTGGATTTGAATCATGGGTGTGGAGCGTGTTTGCTAGGTGGATTTTATTTTTCTAAGTCTTGCTACAAATTTTCTTCAATCCAGGCAACCCAATCACCAGAGTGGTGTCCGTCAACTCCCCTTCTAAGGAGGTTGGTGTTGATCTGGTAACCAAGGTGAAGTGAGGGTCTGCCAAGGATGCTCTGCGCCGAGCTAATTCTAGGAGAAGTCGTTCGAGTCTCCCGTGGGAGGCCCAAATGGAGGCATTTGGAAGACCAAAATTTTATAATACAAAAGAGCGTCAACTATGAGAAATAGAGGATTCGTTCATCCAAATGACTGGACTTCCTCAGGCTATGGAGATACACCATTGGGTGAGTAGGTGGATCGGTTGGAGAAGTTGGAAAAGTTGGACGAGGAGGTGGCCGCCATCCGTGCTCGAGAGACCACTCTTTACGAAGAAGTTGCAGTTATTTGGGCGGAGTTGTTAGCTATCCTAGAGGCATCTTTGGTCGCTCGAGCATAAGCCAAAATAGATAGAGTAGATGGGTTTAGGTTATGAGGTTAAATATGTTATGCAAAATCAAAAGAGGAAATTAGAGAAGAAGACAAGGAAAAAAGAAAATCCATAAGAAACTCTTTAGTGGACCAAATAGAGAAGTCAAGCTTATTCCATAAGAGTTGAAATATGGTGGGAAGACAATTATGATTAAGAACTGAGAATGACCCTCATCTAACATTTATCAGTTTCTTCTGCTTAAAGATAAATTTGAAGAAAAGAAAATACTAGTATATGAATTTAGGGACTACATTTTTTGGACATAAGCTGCCAAAAATGAGAAACTATCAATTTGAACAGTGGACCAGTTTCCATATTCCTAACAAATCTCCTACTTGGAGACCAGTACACTGGTTGCATCATCCACTAGCTGCGTCGCTCTTTTCTTCAAATGTGATATCCTCCGCCTCTGCAACTCAAAGCCCCAGTTTTCATGTTATAAGACTAATTGAAGTCAAGCATAACTTCAGCTTCTCAGGAGTAGCACCCTCAGTCGAGATATCAACATCAACATAGTCTTATACCTCCAAGCTTTTTACTGGGTTACTCATGTATCTGCTAGCAGCTCCCACTGCATGGGTTATATCCTGCCTCAGTTGAAAGCCCTTTTCAACAAGTTCAGCCTTGTATCTTTTACTGCCATCAAGCGCAGTCTTCACCCGGTACACCGGCTTGTTGTGCAATGTTTTCCTCCCTATGGAAGTTCTGTCAGCTCCCAATTCTGATTCCCTGACAGGGAATCTATCTTTTCTGGTCGCTTTCCCAGTAACGAAAGATGAAGTTTCTTCCCATAGATGTAATCATCTATCTGCATCCTCTAGTAATTAAAATTTGTGTCATTGAACTTCTTGATCTCCAATGCCATCACTTCATTTGCACCCATCATTTACTTTCAGCCTTGAATCACGGCTATGATACCAGTTGCTGTGAAAAACGAAGACAATAAAGCGAAAAACCGAATCGAGAAAAATTCTCAAAATAGAAAACAGCGAAACACACAGATTTATGTAGTTCGACAAACTGTCTACGTCCACGGAGCTGCAGAGGATTTTATAAGCTTGAGGAATTACACCAGTCTATCACCTCGACGATTACAAGAAATAACTCTATTTCTCTTCCAATCTCTCTCTCTCTCTCTTCACCTTCTCTCTCTTTCTGTCTCTCTCTCTCTAAACCGAGAGTCATCCGAGAGCAAAAACAAGGAAGAAGAAGCCTGGGAAACCAAATCCCGAGAGAGATTACAAGGGAAGCTAGCATGTCTATTTATTAATTTCCTCATGTCATTAGGTCCATTAAGGAATTAATTAAATAATTAATGAAGTACATTAATTATTTTCTTTTCTCTTCTACAACAAATCATAGAAGGAATTAAGAGCAATTAATTTAGCAATTAATTCAAGTATCAAATCCAATTTGCTGTCAAACACGAGAAAATGTCAATTTAAACAATGGATCGGTTTCCATATTCGCAACATGAAGTAAATTTGATAGCTCACGCATGGGCATCATCGAACCTCCTAATTCCACTTGAACCCTCCCTAAAACTCAAAACTCTCAAAAAAACAAACTTGGAACTAAACTTCTACTGAAAATGAACATGATACTTTTTTTTTATTAGAAAAAATGAAAAGGTTTATGTGTGACCTGCTCGAATAAAAAGGAGCTTTAAGACATTAAGTATTTTTAACATTTAAAACATTGAAAAAGTTTTAATTCACTTAAATCACCATCACATCCACATCACACATATCAATAGTCAGAAGATGGCAATTGAAGTCTTAAAGTAAAAAGTACTTGCTTGTACTTCAACCAATGCACTGAATAGCAGTAATTGATCACAGAATATTGTGTGGGCTTGCTTAAAATCAACTTTGATTGGCATATGCTCTGATGAACGTATAAACTAAAGATTAATTCTTAACAAATTTGCAAATACTAAAATAAATTTATATAAAAATGGAATTCATCTTTAAAAACATGCAAACAATATTAATTCATAAAAAAAATCTCTTTTTAAATCTTATTGAATATAATTAGTTAGTGAGAGCTCTCAAGCAAACCAACCTCTTTTGATGAAATTTATAGTTAACAATATTTAGTTACTTTTAACTAAACTTAATCCATTACAAGCAAGTACATAAAGTTGATACGATCCAAGGAATGATGAAATTACTCTAATTCCCAATGATAACCATGCTGACAAAATCTCAATTGGAGATGTTTATTTAAAATAATAAAAATAATTATAATTAATCAATTAAAGCTCTTAAAAATTTATCCACTCACCTTTCACGCTAATTTATCGACGGATGAACTTAAAATTAACTTAAACTCAAAAAGAGCTAATATCATGTCGAGTGAACCTCTAAAATCACTCTCAAATAATCTCACGCTAATAAGTATAACTAGTGCTCTCTGCTTGTGTGATTTTATCGCCAAATGACACCACATAATAGTTGTTATTCCCAGAACGTTCTGATCAAATGATTCGTCGTTAAATGACACCACTAAATAATCATCACGATTATAGGTCATAATTTCCAATGATTTTTCCTATTGAATTATGAAATATAAAGTGCACTTGATATGATACAAAGTCTTTTTTAGCCAAAGTTAACTTAAATATGTCCCTTTGGATAAATATCTACTTCAGGTCTACAATGCTCTTTTAGCCGAAACAACTGATTAGTATATATAAGAATCCTTCTATCAAGTTGGGGTAATTAACATTAGGGGTTCGTGCTTATAGAAAATCTCAAACCAAATCAAAAAAGAGTCTTACCTAAAATTTAATATGTCTTTTGAAAATTTAGCCAAAGGAAAAAAATCAATCTCTCTACAATAGGTTGGGGCTGTAGATTTTTGGAGCCCACATTCTACCCAAATATTGATGTCAACTATCACTACCAATAACAATTATTATGTAATTGTTCTCTTTTGTCCATCATATTTTTCTATAAATTTATGATCACTCATAATTTTTTATTATTGTCTTCTAAAGCGACACCTACCATAGCTCTATGACTATCGCATCATTGTCATCGCCAACCATCAATCTATGTCAAGAATCATCTCAAATGAAATTGACATATATAAACTCTCATTATTTTTTTTTAATTTTAATTTTCTTTTGACAATCCATGCAGTATAATTCTCACTTCTCCAATTACGAAAAAAATGCACACTTCTATAACATTCACTCATATAGTAAACTATTTTAGTTAGGCCAAAAGCCTTACTCTTGCTTCCTAGGATTTTTACGTAAGAACTTTTGCATCTCTTAAGTACGTTTATTCTACGTAGTTATAGATCTCCGTGAAATTGTTATATTAAAAATGATATCTATCATTATAATTTTTTTAGCCTATAATACAAAATTTTCTTCATTGTACTATTATTATTACCATCTACAATTATCGAATAAACATCAATAATTATCAAGTTTCTCGACCACACTTCATTTATGCTAGCATTTTTTGTAACACTCTCCTTATACCAATCGCATATAAGACAATTCTCTTCATTTTTCATAATAAAATTACAATTTATAAGTACCAAATAAACATCAATGATAAATTATTATGTAAATATCATGTATTCTCAAACTCTTAGACCACACTTCACATATGCTAGCATTTTTGACAACCCTCTACTCCTTCCCTCACATCCAACATAAATGAAAAAATAGTAATAATAAGATCTATGCTTAATGTAAGAGAGTTAACTTTAGGTACAAATAATTTCAATTAATTTACACAAAATAATAATGAGCATGCACTCCAATCATTAAGGGTCCGTTTGTGACTACTTGTGTGATTCAGGATAAGCTGCTTATCCTGAAACGCGGCTCGCGAGCCGGCCGCAGGGACCGACCCGCGGCACGCGAAAAGCTCAAACGCAATTTTGGATAAACTGACGAAACGCGCGAACCAAACGGTACGGCGGCGGCACTTATAAGCTGCCTCAAACGGACCCTAATTTATCATTGAATCTTAAAAATCAAATAATAAATAATAATGATAATATAGTGCAAAAAAAACATAACTACAGAGATGTGGCTTAAATCTATACATCTAAAACTCTCTCGGCTTCTGAGCCCTTGTTACCTCCTCGCCCACCCTGCCGCTGCTTCCTACAAGAACTACACCTGTTCTAACGTCTAAAAAATTTCTGAAGAGCATATTCAATAAAACTTCAAAATTTTTTGCAGCTTTCTAATCCTGCAGTTAGAACAAATTTACATCAGAGATAGCTTATTCCACTCTGAGCAAATTTCATCAAGAACAACAACCAATTAAACAGCTTATTCCACTTCAGGAAATCATGACAAATCTGCTACATAATTTCAAAACATCAGTGGGCATAAGAAAGCTGCCATGCTGCCTGATGGATGGATAGCTTATGCACAAATCTCCACAATCCTTACTCCTGAGCTATATTAATTAGCTCTTCCCAACTCTTACATATCCAACAAGGAAAATTTTTCATATATATATATATATATATATCGACACACCTGATTGTTAGCATCTAAAACTCTCCACAACAGTCTCACCCACAAACTAATAAAATAATGGATCAAAGAACAGTTTAAAAAACTACTCCGTTCTTTGAAACAACAGCATACTCTTTGACAAAAGCAGGTAACTTCAGCGACAGAGTGCGTCGCATCGAACAGCATGTAAAAAAGAAGGTAGATTTCGCTCCAAGACTTCCACAAGCTCGAAGCCATAGTTCCCCACATTGCCAAAGGGTTGCCCTTGAATCCGCGTAACAGCTTCGACAAGCTCCCCTCTCAACTTCTGTGGCAGCAAAGGTCCGCCCGCCCCTATAGAGTGGAAGGAAGGCCACCGCCGCCGATAGTGGCTCCGGCAAGTCCCTCAAGCGAATGGGTGACTCGCCTCGTCTCACTACTCGTGCGAAGTTCAAGTAATGTTCTTGTCCTAACCTCATGCCTTCAGTAAAAGCGGCTTCGGACCAATGTTCCTTCAGATAGGCACCGAGTTTCATTGATTCCACTTTTGCATCACTCAACATGGCTAAGTTGTCCGCGACAGCATAGGTTGCGTTGGGGTCACCAAGGAAGTTGGAACGGAGGAGGAAAGCAACTCCGTCGAGAGAACCATTACCTCTCTCGGCGGTCATCTTGAGGATCTCTGTGCTTAGGGTGGAAAGAACATTTTGGGGAACACGGGGAAGAAGGTAGGACGCGATGCCGACCTGGCTGTTGGAAGTGGCGGCGGTTAAGGCCAGGCAGAGCTCCATGTCAGTGCATCCATGGTTTACGAACCATTGTACCACGGGCATGCAGCCTCGCTCAGCTGCTTTCATTAAGGGAGCGACGAATGCGGATGCGTGGCCCTCTTCTACCAGGCATTCCATGGTAACGAGATTACAGTAGTACGAGGCGAAACCGAGAGCGAGATCAATATCCACATCCAAGCTGTTTCTTTCAGCAATCTGAACAATGAAAAGTAGATCATTTACATGTTTAATGATGATCGATTATTAGCCAGTTGTCATCAGATTAGTTAACGATTAAACCAGCACTAGAATCACATACAAATCAACTATCATCTATGCGATATGACTTTTGCTTGTGTGCTTTATGCAATTATTTGAAAGTTCACTTTATATGAACTTTCAAATGAGCATGGATCCCAAGATTGTAGCCTTGCCATTCAGTGAAGCGGCGTGGAATATCATCAATGAAGTAAAGATAAGCAGTCAACGAAAGATACCAAGGCAAAAAGTGAGACTACCCTCTTAAAAGGAAAAAAAAACAATAATTTTATTAATAAGATTTCATAAATAAAGAGTATGTTTTGATACATCCAAAGGTTATGAAAATTAGATACAATAACACAACTAGCAGCACAAGAAATCAAAAATAGTTTTACAAGTGAGTTGAATGAAGAATAATTGGATGGGATAAGAATGACTTCAGACACCATAAAGAAGTATCCCATGAGTATTATGGGATAAAATGATATTAAGAAATAAAGGAAAATTTTATAAAACTATAAAACTAGTTATGCTAATACGTATTTGAGTATCCAAAAATAAAAATTCATTGATATCTCTATTGTCCATGGTGAAAATGAGAAATACCAAGTTTAGCCATATATATATGCGAGCTTGTGTGTGTAGAAAATTCGGTCATTAGATAAAAGTTAAAATTGCATGACGCCTGTAAAGAAGAAAAAAAAAATGTAGAACGTGCATAGAATACATTCAACAATGATTTGTGACAAATAAATATAACTATGACACCGTAGAAAAACTCAGTAGGAATGAATAAAAAATAACCATGAATAAAGCAAATTCAATGAGGTTGATGCTAAAGATTATGCCATAAAAAAAATCATAATACGAATCCTAAAGACTGAATGAAAATTGGCTGAAGAAAAAAACATTTCAATGCAAATACTCAAAAGAGATATACAATATTGTGGTAATTATAAAGAAATTAAATGTAAAAGTCATATACTGAGATTAAAGGAGAAAAGACAAGTACCAAGAAAAAATCATATTGTATTTGAGACTCAATTGATAGAAAAAATATGTTAAGCAACAAAAATATCTTACTGCAATTTTTCCATCTTGAAAAGGCATAAAGTGCAACAGTTATTTTGGAGGGTTTAAATAAAATACAGGTGTGTGCAAAGATATCAAGAAGAAAATATATGGTAAAGGTACGCTAGAGGGATTAAAAATGCGTATGCTGAAATGGTATTTGGTATTAGTAATTTTAAGCTGGCTAGAGAGTTCTCATTTATAAATTCAAAGATTTGACATACTAACCTTTTAGTACTGGCTATCTAGAAGAGAATTAAAAATATTGATGATGATATACTAGATGCAGCTATTATTAGATGGGTGAGCTCACAAAAAATATAAAAAATCATCAATAAGAGAAAATTTTAATAGATTTGAGGTTTAACATTTATTAAACAAAGATTAATTGTAAGATATGAAATTTTAGTGCAAACAAAATTCATAATTAAAAGGAAAAAAAAATCAAAGTTGAGTGCATGAAGCTTTCACGAAGGCAAGGTGTAGAAAGGAATTGTTCTATGCATTCATAACCTTAAAGTTTTTAGAGACATTTTTTGTCGCTGGAACTCATAACCACCTAATCACAGTGAGACAAACTAAATACTAGGGGTAAGCAAATAACACACAAAGAACCATCCCAATCCAAACCAAAGTGACCAATTGGGGTCGGTTCTAAGAAGACATGATTTTGATTTGATCACTAACATATACCGAACAAATGCAATGGCCTAGTTATCAAGTTTATTAATCAAGTGACTCAAAAAATGACCCAAATCAAAACATAAAAAATTACTAAAATTAAATTTTAAAGAACTTAAATGGAAGAATCAAAAACCAAGATGTATCCTTAATAAATTTACTATAAATATGTAAGTTTTATATGATTAGAAGTGATGTAGTAAATTACTTTATATGATTACTTAAAAATTGCTTGAAACAAAAATAATTAAAATTAAGAATTGCAAGCTATTTTTTTAGTTATGTATTAAGTGTTTTTGCAATTGAATATTAGGGATTTAACTATCTTTGATGAAAGACTACAAACAAAAGGCTAAAACATTCCGCTTCTTTGAATAAGTCAGATCAAACATAGATCAATGTTAAACCAACGAACATTAATTGGACCTACAACCAGAACAAAAAAATTGAGGTTTGGTTATCATTATATTCTAAAGTAATTTGGGTCAATTCTAGTTCCAATATTGATCAATTTCAGATGGAATCCGTTAGACCTGATCTGAATTACATCCCTTACTAACCATACCAACCACGCTGCTTCAATGAAAAATTAATATTTTTGAATCATTAATTATGAAAAATTTAAGAGAACCTATAAGTGATATTACCTTGGATCTATCTTAGAAAAGATTGGTAAATAGATGGAATATTTAACTTCTAGAATCAAAACTAGGAAGATAAAATAAAAAAGTATCTTAGATATCTCATGTCATAAGAATACACCTTGGAGATTAAGAAAAAATATAAAAGCCTACCAACTTTTTCAAACGAATAATTATTAATGAAGTTAAATGCCAAAAATGAGAATATTAACATGCAAGTATGTAAAGTCATGAAACTAAGAAAGAGTGAATAATAAATATATGAAAGAGTCAGTAACTATAATATTTACAAAATAAAGGGAGAAAAAAATATGCTTATGTAGATTGAACTTCAATAATGAAATGTAAAATATGCACAAATAGAATAAGTAGATAGAATGAAATTACAAAAAATATGCAAAAAAAATGGGTAGGCCAAAATTAAACAGCTTCTAGTTATGAAATAAAATGCCCGAAATATAATAATTACCTCAAGTAGCACTTGATTAGAATGAATGCAGAAAGATTCGCAAGGTTGACTTCAAATTAACCACCTAGTACCACTTTGTCTTGAATTTTGCATGACATGATTAACCACCAAACGAAAATTTAAATGTTGAGTTTGGTAAAAATGAAACAAATCAACTTACAAACTAACCTTCAATACTCAGATGAGTCATCATTGTTTTCATTATCATACAAGGTTTGAGTCTTCGTAGAGGCACTATTTCATTTAAGAAAATCAATACCATGTTTCATTTAAGATAGTGATAACCCCTTTTTGCTAAGAAAACTCAATTTTAAGTAAAAACTTTGGCTATTCTAGATCTTCGGTGACAAAGAACTTTGCAAGTAGTATTTTACCCTAAAGCTTTAGTCATGATCAGTTCCAATGATTAAAATTTCATCAGTATAAACTGGTATGATGGAGCCAAAAAAGTTTATGCCTATGAAGATAAAACGATGTGTGGACCTATTGTAAAGGCCAATCTCACATAGGGCTTTATAAAATATTTCAAGCCAACCTCATGGACACTGTTTAAGTCCATTTTGATAACCTTCTTGGTTAGTTATATGCGTTTCCCCTAAACAAAATCCTCTTATAGGTCACCATATAGGTAGGTATCGTTGACAACCAATTGTAACAAAGTGCATTATTGATTTATTGACAAATATAAAAGAATTCAAGTCACTAGGGAGAAGATTTAAAAAAGTTTATCATATAAACTTAGTAAATCTTTTTGCAACCAGTTAAATTTTTTAACAATTGATGAAGCTACTAAAAAAAAAATGACAAGGAAAATCCAACAATAGAAAACTATTTTGACCAAAGAACTATTTCAACATCCAGCGTATGTTTTCATAATAAATTCTATAGCATTTTTTATATTCTTAATACACACACACACATCCAGAGTATGTTTCATAATGAATTTTTTATATTCATAATAAATTCTATAATAAATCCAGAGTATGTTTTATTTTTCAACATCCAGAGTATGTTTTCACATATATATATATATATATATATACAATTATATTAATGAAGAAAAGATGCATATAGGTTGTATGAGTAGTCCAAAAAAAAGACACCAACTCACACAATACAACACACACAAAAACACAAAAAAAAGATACATATTAGATCCAAAAAACCAAAAACCATCAACGCGCGCAAAAAGCTAGGGACGACTCAGTTTTTTCCTGCCTCTGCCTCGAGTTCTCAGAAGGGAGTCGGCTAGCAAATTGGTGAGGTGTGTACCATTACCCGAAATAACCAAAGTATCATCCATCAAATTCCTGAGGTCAAGTAGGTCTCCATTCTTCTTCTTCCTTCTGGATGTGTAAACATGTCATTCCTCATCCGATGATTGACTCATCTTATCGATGGATTGGTCCAACGGTGGTCGGACAAGTGTAGGTTGTTGCACATCATGAACATCATGTGCCTGAGTAACATTAACATCATGCTCGACCTGATGAGGTGGTAGAGAAACAGTAGCAATAGTGTCACCCGTAACATCAGTGATAGGTTCCAGGGCAGGTGAAGTTTGAGATGTGTCCCTCACCCCCACGAAAAGAGGTTCCAAAGATGGGGGAACTACAAAATTGTGTGGAGGCTGAATGATGGACATATGGATAGTGGCATCTTCAGGGGTATCTTTTTTATGATCAATAATGTCGATAACTTAGAGCATATCAGGAGGAGTGAGAATCACTGCCTCTAGCAGAGCACTTTGTTTCTTTGGTCTGAGATAGGAGTGTAGATGATGACATTGAGAACTGGAGTGGCCAAACGTACGACAGTTCAAACAATACGAAGGGAAATGCTCAATCGCAATCTTCTGCCAATAACCATGGTGTTAGGTGCCTAACTAAATTTCCTCAGAAGCGGTAGAAGTGATGTCCCTTTCAACGAGTACTCTGACTTCAGATGGACGGGAAAGATTAAAAGAAGGAATGTATGTTTTAAGAGGCTTACCATAAGCTAAGGAAATAAAGTACCACACTTTTTGAGTAAAATAATAAAATTTCAGGTCAGGAAGGCGAATCCAGACCAGAATGATTGGTGGTTCCGTCTGTGGGACAAAATCCACCACCATTTGAAAATCTTCATTATTCTATTATCAATCGAAATTAGTCTTCTAGCAAATAATCGCGTGTAATCCTCTTCATTATTAAGTTGAATAAGAATGTGTCTTCCATCTAGAAGTCCAAATTTTCACTCCCCAATAAGATGCATAAGCTCAAGTTCTTTACAAACAAGCTCAATTTTGGGACGGTCATAAATAAATTTTCCGACCAAATTTAGACGACAGGAGGAAGCAAGTTGATTACTTTCAACTTCTGTAAAAAATATGGCAGGTTTCCCATTTTTCATAACAAGTTTCTTGATGTCCTCCGCCAACTCAAACGAAGGATAGAAAGAGCACGACTTAAGAGTACCTGAGGCGTGGACTCCCGCAAGGGCAGTAACATACAATCTGTCTGAAGCCATCATCATAATAGGGAGGCACGACGAAAGAACGACGAATTTGCAGTGAACGTAAGAGCGAAATCTGGAAGGGTCGAAGCAGAAAACTATTCCTATCAAGTCGAGCAGAGGGCAAACGACGGGCCGAAGACGGTCGGGGAGAAGCCGCAGAAGTTGAAGCCGCGGAAGGCGCAACTCGACGAGCTCTATAAAGACAGAAGAAACAGCCGAGAAAGGGTGGCACAAGCCACAGACGAAGGCGACGGAAGACAACAACCGCAATCAGTTCTAAACCGCGGAATACGAGTCGCGATAGGGCCACAGACAGGTGCAGCTCGACGAAACTCTACAAAGACGACGAAAGACGAAACAGAGGAGCGAACTCCCCCTACTTCTTTGAGCGTGAAAATGCTGTAGCAAAGGCTAAGGTTCGTCGTGAGGCGAAGATACACACACACACATATTTATGACAAAAACAAGGCAAATATATAGAAAAAATTTATAAATGACCGAATAATATAAAAATGTAAACAAGATGAGTGGTAAGTTATGTTTAACCTTTATATAAGGCAATTGGTAAACACAAGTCAAAAGGCTCGGTTGGTAGTAGATGCCAACTAGAACTTGCTACTGTAGATTAGGTGTTGTTATGGAGAGAATTTGAGGGTATTGAGAGTAGACCTCTAGAGGTGTAGCAGTAGGCATATGAGTTTCTAAAGGGAAATGAACAATTGGTGAAGATGTTTTTGACATGGAGGAATAAAAAAAAGAAATTTATAGTTTCATGAAAGGTTATCAGTTAAAGCATAAAGTAGTTGAGCTTGTGATCACAAAACAAATAACCTTTTTGATTGTGAGAACACCCCAAGATAGATAGGTTGGCTAGCATGAAGATTTTCATACACGTGACAAGTATGAACAAAGTATATACAACCAAGTATCCTTAATGTAAGGGGACAAGAGCTTGACTAGGATAGAAGAGTGGACATGGGTGAAATATATTGATAAGTGGAAAGGGGCTATAGTTGCTATCATAGTAGGCTATCAAGACAACATCCCCCGTAACTCAGAAAAGATGTTCATGTCAAACATCAATATCCTTGCAAGTTCACGAAGATAAAGATTGTTAACACCATTATGTTAAGATGGATAAAGATATGAAGGTTGATGAATAATATCATTAACAAAGTTGAAGGTGTGAAACTAAGACGGCATAAACTTTAGAGCACTATCAGCGTAACATCAACATCCTTGCAATATCAATAAAGTGATAATTGTTAACACCATTATGTTAAGAAGCATAAGGACATGAAGTTTGATGAATAATACCCTTAACAAAGTTGAAAGTGTGAAAGTAGGACTGCATAAATTTTGGAGCATTATCAGTGTAAAAACCTTAGGAGAGACGGAAGTCATTTAGATAGATGAGAAGAGTTTACGGTTATCAGTCACAATGGAAGAGACACCAAAATCTAAAACATGACACACTGACAGGTGTAGCTTCAACAAATTCAAAAGAAGAGACAACATGAGTTTTTTAGAGGGATGAGTAAAACTAATTAAGCAATCAATCATAGACTTCTATAGAGAGAGGCATCAAAGGGAGAAAGAATAGATAGACTGATAGTGGTGGATGTACACTGAGCAGTGAAGGTATGGCTGAATTTCTCACAGTAATGTTCAGAACGGTGGTTTGTGTGGCCAATAAATATATTTCAACTACAATTATGTCTGCCGCTAGAATGGCCTCCACAATTATGATTCCCTGACCATTTTGGAAAGCAACTCCCAAGGCAGATTTATCAAGACTGGGAAGTGAAGAAGTAGATAGCTGGAAGTCACAATCAATATCAAAATCAGTTCAGAATTATATGCTGTAATTAATAAAAATTGATGCAGACGAATGGCCAACACTTCTTTGATATGTTCAGCATGAATATAAAATAGTTTACAATCACATTCTGTTAAGTTTGCGTCGTCATTGGCATTTCTTACAAATGAGGACAGCCATGATAGTCCATTTAATTCCATATGAATTCTTTAGTAAACATTTAAAAGGACATAATTTCATAAAAGGAATGCCTTAGGGTAATTTTCTATTGCTGAATGATTGAAAGAATCAATGGTTGTTATCAAGCCTTCCCCATTTGGAATAGTCAGCAGGGCTGTCCCCTTCTTATGTTTAGTGCATGTCTCCTTTCACCACTCCTGTTTGGTGACAAAAGCCTCTCCCCACATTTGAATGGGGTCAAATTATCTCCTTTTCCAAACATTGTTTATGGCTTATCCATCTTATTCATTGCTTTGCACTTCCGATTTATTCCTGCGTGAATTACTACCAAAAATATAATGGATACTTGTGCATTATCATTAAAATTATTATGGATCATTGTACAACATATGTTGATGTGAATAGCAAGGATTCCTGAATAGATGAATAGTTATTTAATTTCCACAATTTTCCAATCGAAGGTATGAAACAACTTTTGCTAATAGGAGTTCAAATCTTGTTCAATCAATTTTATTATAGTGATTATTTTATCAAAAAGTGTTTCTAATCAAACTTAGCTCTACTATAAACCAAATTAAGAAGCACAAACGCTTGAAACATATTTTATGTGCATGTTGGACACAGTTGTTGGACATTCAAAAACATTAACATGTTTAACATTATGTTAGACAGAACCATTTAGTTTACTTTATTTTATATTTTAAGAACCAAAAAGATCCTTAAACCACGTTTTGACAAAAGCTTGACACATTGCGCACATATCTAACCCACAATATTTTAAAATCTCATTTTTTCATTCACCTCCTACCAAGTTTCATCTTAGCATGACATAAGAGCATCTTCCTCATCAAATTCATTTTCTAGATGCAGAGGGGAAAACTTCTTAATATTGCAATTTTAAAATGAATGCCAGCTTCTTTAACATTTAATCACAATTTATTTTTTTAAAAAAAATCTTAAGATACTAAACAGCATGTCTTATTTTTCCATGTTTTTTTCCATTAATGTCATCTATGCAATGATTGTTCTGTCTAGTTTCCATAGTGAGCTTTAAGTAAATCAACTCTGAGTGATTTTCATCAAGTAATTCTCTAGGCAATATACTAGTTTGAATTAAAGGTTCAAAAAGCTAATTTCCATTCATTCAGAAGCTAACTTCCATTTTCTTTTCAGCTGCGCCAACTAATTATCCACAAAAGTTAATGTAATCTCACTTTAGAGAATTTAGGACTAGGATTTATAGGAGTAGGAGATGAGAGCATACATATATTCAATCTTCTTTATAAAGGAGATAAGCCTTTCATTCAAACACTTTAAAGGGCGGTCATGAAATTTGGAAACAAAATCCTTTTCACAATGGAATATCAGGAATCCAATTGCGAAAAAATCATAATTATGACGTTAATTCCTCAAAGAAAAAACATCACTAAACCCCACCACCAGTGCTACTGCATCAGTCCACTCCCTACTCGAAACAAAGATTTTACAGGGGGCGGGAGATAGATTCACAACATCGCAGAGTAAACTGACATAGCACTGCTACAACGAGTTCTACTTCTTTATTTATAATTTCATGAGCAACAATATACTAGTTTATGCTGGTATCTTTCCACAACACAAACCCAAAGGGAGAGAAAAACAGCGAATTCACTGGAAAAAGCTTCACTCTCAAACTAAACATTTGGAGTAAAAAAACTGCCATTAAGGAGAACACCAACAATTACTGGCATGAACAAATGTACATTTTGTAAGAATAAATGGATACATGATATAACATTTACCTGCAGCAAGATTCGAACTAGTTCTGTGCTACCAAAACGAGAGGCTTCCAACAAGCACTGATTGACATTATCTGCACCACCCTCAACCAACATTCCCAGCAATCCTCTCACCGTGGCTGCGGAAATTGCAGAAGACCAGCCTGTTTCAAATGAGCTAGAAAAGAGAGTAAGCGGGAAACATGCTGCATCAAAGGCCTCCGTAAAGTCCTTTCCTGTGATCTGATCCCCTGCAAGGTCTAGAAAGGTTCTGAATGCTGACAACTGGAGTTGGATCTCAAAATGAGATTTACTTTCCCCATTATTTACACAGCCTTGCCCACCAGAATGGATAGTTATACATTTCATAGCCCATTCTGTGAACTTTTGAACTTTAACACTAGCTTCTGCTTTCAAAATCTCATCACCACTGCACTCCTGAAGCCGTTCATGCAACCTATTAAAGGTGCAAAACAGAAAAATGTTAAAAATAAAGGCTGCAAGGAAAAACCATGCTAATAATGCCCATATTGAAAACATGAATAATAACTATTATTAAACCGTTAGAAATTTCACAACCGCATTTAACGCAAAGCATTCTTTTATATTTGACCGAAACTCTACAAAAAAGAAAACATGAGTCAATATTGAACTCTATTGAGAAAAAAGATGGAAACCAACGAGATTTCCATGTCATAAAAGGATGACATCATGCATATTCTGCATAAATACTGCATAATCAAGAAGAAAGAAGTAGCTTTCTACCTTTTTTATACGTTTATGGATAAAAGTATAAGATGATAAAGCATTACCTATGGGCCAAAATGGCCTGAGTATCTGATGAGCTCATTCTACTGCTTTTGCAAGCAGACACACAAGATGCAAGAAATGATGTCCGTAAAACTGCCCTGGTGAAATCATGAGCACCATTACAGATTACTAAATTTATAAGCTGAGTGATCCCAATTAGCTCCTGTCTAGTTCTCAAGAACCAGATTGAATCCAGGGCAATACAAAGCGCATCATTGAGTATTTGTACGTCCGCCCCTACAACGAGTCTCTGAGCAACATCCCAGTCAAAAGTTCTTACTGCCTCTTGAAACTTGCGCCCAAACACAATTCTTTCCTGCCGGTTGAGCCTTCTTCTTTCTCTACCTTTATCCTTTCTCTGGACCTCAAAACCTTGCACAGTTGAAGATTCAAATTTATGTTTTTTGGTGCTGCCTCTGTAGATAATGGAAGTTCCTTTATTGTCTTCAATAAAAACTTGTGCTTCTGTTGATAAACCCATGCTGCTTGCCTCCCCTTCTTTCTCCAAAACATGAGACTGTTCATCTTGATTTCCAACGAATTTGCTTTCATCCTTGTCAATCTGTGGGCAAAAGCTCTCTTCCAACTGGCTCTCCTTCCCTACAGTGTCCCTCTTTCCAACTGCCAGAAGCTTGGGCTCCATTTCCCCTAGAGCAGGAATACCAATACCAACTTGTTTTTTTTCCAAAATAAAAGGATCCTTTTCAGCTGATGAATTGACTGATTACTTCCAAACAGTACATAAAACATAAAAGTGAGTAGTGAATTACTAGCCTCCTTCAAATTGTATGAAGAGAAGCTAATTCCTTCAAAATGAACTCAGATATACGCTCTGATGTATCCAGCTCGAGATTCAGAATAGAGAAAAACAGCCCCTTTTACAAAACTACCAAAGACAATCAAATCCAGGGCACGACCTGCAAAACAAGAACGAGGCCAAAAAACTTCAGGGATTTCAATTCCTGAATTATTTACAAATTATGTTGATGTTTTCAGAAGCAAGAGGCAAATCCAGGGCACGACTAAAGCATGATAGGGTGAGGCGATCTCGTCATTTGCTCATTAAAAACGTTCAAAAGAGGCAAATATTATAACTGATCATCAGAAGCTGTTGCCTAATGAATTAATAGAGCAAAACAAAAAATTGAACGGATCAAAATCCGAAAAAATCATCATGGCATACTTCACTGTAAGAGAACGGCAATACTACTAACAATCGCAAGCCAAAACGCAGCCCAGCCGAAGCAAATCCAAGAAGCCGACACCAAAGCTCTTTGAATTCGATCACCATGGAGGCAGAAATTTCAGAGTTCGAACAAAGATAGCATCAAAATCTTACTCGTAGTAAGTAGGAACACAGACGCAAAAACAAAATTCAATTTAAAGCAAAAAAAAAAAAGGATTAGGCATGAGCAGAAATAAGAGGAGAACTGAGCAAACCTATAGAGACATCATGCGATTAACAAAAGATTAGATTCCCGATTCGATTATTTCCTTCCATCCCCCACCATAAGCTACTGAGGGACAGAGAGAGAGAGATCACAGTTCGGAGCTTTACTGCCAGGCGGAAGAATTCAAGGCTAGCAGAGGCCTGTGATATAAAAAAAAGGGCTATTTTAATAAAGGAAGAATTACATACATACCCCGCGTATATAACACCTACATTTTAATTTTTACATACATATTACGATATTCATGCATATATACACTCAGGTTGAAGGGATTGGCGTTAATGGTTGATCGACAGATTCAAGGCGGGGCGAGCGGTCAGCGAACCTCTTACCGACCGGATCAATCGTCCTTATTATGATATTCAAATATCTTTGTAATTACTAAGAAGTCTCTATAAAGAGCTAATGATAAATGAATTGATCTATAATTTTGTAAGATTGTGGCATATTCCTATATATAAGGGGCTTATATCATGAATAAAGGGCTATGCATTCTCACCATTATCTATTGTACTTTCTCCTATTTGTCTCTGCAAAACGTTCTAAGCTTTGGGTGTATTTCTCAGATATTTTTAGATTCAATATCTTTTAAGGGCGATGCGCGTGAAAACATGTCATCAACAAAAAGATATACTCAACAACACCAGTAGGGAAAATCTAGTTAGAGAAATATGATAGAAGCAGCATGCACTAGGGAGCTCGCGGAAGAATTTGTCAAAGAAGGCATGTAAGACTTGAGGACCCAATTCATTAACCAAATGTCAGGACAATCACAGAGACACTCAAAGCAGTAGTTGTCCTAGGGGCGGTCTCGATTCCAGAAGGAGAACTAGCCCAACAAGGGACACCCAACCCACATCAAGAGAACCACCGGCGAACAATGGAAGAAGAACAACCTACCAATAAGAGAAGTTTGATGATGTGTTATATCAAGACAATGCCATCTCTGCCTCTGTGGAGGAGGGGAATGGATTGGTGTGGACCGCAGTATAGCGACAACCGAAGAACGCTGTCTCACTAGAAGTCTTGGGATTTGAACCCCCGAAGAAGTTTAATATGGCTGTTCTAGAGTCATGCAAAGAGTGATTGGACGACCACCTCACATCATTTGAATCTTCTAAATGCCTACTAAAAATCTCTGATGCTCTCAAATGCAAATTGTTCTTCATCACACTGAGGTCATCTATGCTAAGATGTTTTGCAGTTACCCACATGTGAGATCACCTATTTTATTTAGAAGACTCTTTCTATCGCAGCTTGCTAGCACTCTAAGACCCAAAAAAGTGTGCTCGATCCTTATGATAGATGAAGCAAGAAGTTGATGAGAGCTTGCGATCATTTATTGCACAGTTCAAGAGGGAAAACTTGGATGTGAAAGACTGGTTGCTTGACATGGTCCCGATTGCGCTAACTTAGAAGTAAGGTCGGCGAGATTCCACTTCGAGCTTGACCTCACGGAGCCGCAGAGCCTAACTGAGTTGTTGGAAATGGCAATAAGTACATAGTTATCAATAAAAACACCCCTGAACCCGCCAAACACAGACACCCAAGAGGTTGCCACAAGAAAACTGGAAGCTAATAATATGGAATGAAGACCAATCGTGCACCCATGCTACGAGAATCGCCCCATCAACAACTTGACCCATCGTTGACCTCATTTTTTGTTGAGGTCTAGTCTTTCTTCCTTAGGAGCGTAGGATCTAGCCATATGACTTTCCCATTGACTTTTCCTAAAGGACTAGTGATGGTATCCTCACCAATAGAAATTTCAAACTCTTCTTTGCTCATCCTGAAGTTTTACATGTTGATTCTGACCTCTAGCACTTAGTAGGTGGAGTCGATATGGGGGAGCTCAAGAAGGATTCCCCATAGGACTGTTTGACCTTAGGGTTGACCTTGGGTGAAGTGGTTTGGTCTAGCACACTCACTTGCACTTCACACTTTCACTCACTACCTTGAACCCTAGCCTAAACATGTCTGGTTTGGTTCCCTGACCTCTTTGGAGACCCATGTGGGTGGTTCCCCAAACCTTTAGTCCTTGATTGGGGTGGATAAAACCAGCACATGGAGAATCCAAAGTGGTGTTTCTCTGGTCTCATGACACCATGAGGGTTATTCTATGATCAACATTTGCATCAAACCTCAACCTTACCCAATTACCCAATTTTGACATTTTAGCCCTAAACTTTCCCATAATTACCAAATTGCCCCTAGCACCATGAAAATTCATGGTTGGTCAAAATCCCTCAAATTTTGTTCAAAAATCATTTCAAACCATCCAAATTACCCAAAACACTCCAAATTTTCATATTTACCAAAATACCCCAAATTTATCAAAATTACTAAAATGCCCTTGGTGGCCAAAAAATTCTCAAATCCTCCAAAATCATTTCAAACACCTTTAAAACCAATTTTTGACATTCCATTGGGTCTAATTTGATTAAATTGACTTACTTTGACCAAAATCCCAATTTTGCCCCTAAGTGCCTAAAGTCCTCAAATCACCCCAATTTGCCCTCAAATTGATCTCAAATTTCTTCAATTTCAATTCTAAACTCAAATTCATCATGTCCTAACCCAATTGAAACCAAATTCAAGCCCAATTAAATCCAATTCCAAACTCTAAATCCAAGTCCAAGTGAATTGCCTCAAATAAACCCAATGTCCAAAAATCCCCAAATTGAGCTTCATGATCAATCACATGCCCCAATTTCAAATTCACATCAAAATTCAACATATCCAAATTCCATTTCAACCATTTCTAAATCCATTTTATAGGCCAATGACCAATTTACAAAATTAAAATCATCATGTGCATGTTTAAAAAATCCATACCCATGTGCATTAAAAGCCCATTCCATAAAATTTTAAAAGCCCAAAATTTAGCCCACATGACATAATTTCAATGTTTAATCATCCCATGGAATCCAAAATCACTTTACCATGGTATCATGCCAAATTTCCCCATGCATACATGGTACTTTACCAAAATTGGGCATGTTGGCATTTTCTATTAAAAATCTATAAAATCAAAATTTCCTTTTACATGAAAACCTCATACATATCATGGCATGACTCATGGAGCCTTCCATGGGCATCCCAAAGTCAAATTTGCTCCTAAAGTCAAATTTGCTAAATTTGGCAAGTGGAAGTGACTATTTCTCCTTCTCTCCCTCAAACTTTGCCTCATTCACGCAATAATTAAACTCTTGCCCCATGCTTGAACCAACCATTCAAACTCACCCAAACTTACTTAAGAACCTTAAGTATCAGCCTTAACCATTTTGGGGCCATGATTAGACAAGTGACCATGAGATCAAACCTAAGCTAGCCAACTTAACCCAAACCTCAGTTCTCCCTTGGACTTCTACCTTGGAGCCTCCTTGGACCCAAATTGACTCCACCACTCAACCTCCCTGGCTCACCTCAGCCTGAGGGTGACCTGACCCTAGCTGACCAGCTACCACAGCCATTGGAAAATACCCAGCTTGAAAAGACCCAAATGATTTAAACCCCAAATTTGAACCCATAAGAGCTATCTCATTGTTATTGGACATTGAAGCACTTCTTCCCTCCACCTCAGCTGCCTCCTTGCCACCCTAGCTTGCCCTGATGGCAGTCATGGCTTCCTCTATAAATTAAACACCCCCCACGACCAAGAAAAGATACATACTCAAAACTTAGCAAGACTCAGCCAAAATTTCTCCAGACTCTTTATCAGTCCAGAGAAGTTAATCCGCACCATTTCCTTGCCCTAATTCCCACTACAATACCCTAATTTCACCACTGAAATCCAAGGGTTTTCTCGGCCATACCACCAAGTGCATCCAAACTCCAAATTGATTGTCCCATAAGCTTCACCAGAGCCAAATAGGACTTTTCCAACCAAAACCCCACCATTTTGAGTACTCTAACCTAGCCCTAGAACAAACTTAAATCACCCTCAATCGAATTCATACTTAGACCTAATCTCAGCTCAAGGTGACGCTTGGAGGAGGTTTTTCAGGTCCCAATGAAGCTTCCACAAGCTTCCAATTGAGGCTACACCTCTTGGACCAAGGTATGAGCCACTTTCCCCCAAATTTAGCTCAGTTTGGGATTTTATGAAGAAAATCTTAATATCATGCATGATCAGCCGTATAGATGTGTTCGTCTCGGTTAGATGCACGTGAAATAACAAATCACACTTAATTTCGTTGAGTATAGAGTGAGATCAAAGTAATTTAGTGTGGATGGCTCTCTGGTTAGGCTGATCAGGGACGACGAACGCATGTCGTTCGTTTAGCACATGCTTTGATCTAACAGACAAGACGACTTTGGACTAAGAAACGGTTCGTGAATGCGGGCGAGTGGCGACTGAGTCAGATGGCGGCGTAGAATCATAACTCGACGGGTGGAGCTTCCGAGAATCCCAGGATGACACGATGGCTAAGCTGTATAAGTAGAAAAATAGGGATTTAGGATTCATTTAATTCCTAGAACTTAGAAAATTCATATCTTTGCACAGAAAAATCATAAAAATTATAGAAAAATGCTATGTTGGTTAGTGAATAGAGGAGAATAATGTGGAATAAAAATTAAAATTATTTGACTTATATTTTATTTTTAATTAAGTAAATACTCAAACACTTAATTAAATCATAAGACATTAAATATTAATCATCATGACTTGATATTTTCGGGGTTTAAATTTCCTCTCCTTAGGCGTTACCTCTGATTTTTCCAAAGTCAAAGAACACCTCAAAATGTGGAAGCCCTAATTTTAAAAATAAATCACCTTTGTTTAATTAAGAAATTATAAAAATTAGATATTTATAGTTAATTAAATCATTAAAATCACTAAAATCATAAAAAAATAAAACTTACTTTGGTAGATTCATTGTGATCTGAGGACCCTAGAAAAAATATAAATCAAGTTTTAATATTTATGTAAATTACTATAGTTAATTAAATCATACAAATCGCTAAAATTAAAATAAATAAAGTAATATTATAAAAATCATCTCACACTGTAAAAAAATAGTCACATTAACTCTCTGTAAAAATTTGAGATCATTTTGAATTAATTTACCCACTAAAATTGATTTTCTAAGCTAAATATGATTTTTGCATTAAAATAATTATATAAATTAAATTAAA